TCATTCCCATCTCAAAGTATTTTTCAAATAGGCTTGTGTATGATGAGAGAGGGTCTGCGATTGAGAGCACTTGTGGAGTTGGGTGAACTGCCTGCATGGAGTAATGTGTTTGTCTGTTTCTTTCTGAAGTCACTATGGAAACTTGGGGCAAAGAGCAAACTCAGGAGAGAAAAACGGGAACTTTCCGAGAGGTTCCTTGGGGTTCCTGACCAAGAGCTGAGCCCTGTTATTGGGGGCTTCCTTCAGCAGCAGCTTTGGGGGGCAGGCAGTTCTGGGCTGGCAGAGCCATGGAAATGCTCCAAAGCACAGGACCTGGACCAGGGAGGCTCAGTCCAGCCAGGGTGACTGCCTACTGTGTGGAATGGCCACTTCTAGGCAGAGAACATAGTCAGAACTTTCTGAGCTCAATAGCAGCTTAGAAATTAGAGAAGATTTTGCAGTCTCTTAGAAGTGTCGAGATCATTTGTGCTCAAACTCTTTGCTCTTGTAGCTGCACGATTTTGCCCTATTGCCACACTCTAGCCATGGAATGGTTTTCTTTAGGTTCACTTGCTTTCTTTACATAAATGAGTTTGGTTTTAAAGCACAGTTATACCACCATCACTTAGCTCCTGGCTGAGTGTTTCTTAAATACACGCCAAGATCAATGCATAACTCTTAAAACAGATAGCGGTGGTCCTCGTCCCTGGAAATCAGCCCAGACACTGCCTACATCCAGTCCAGCACCCTCTTGTCCCTGATAGATACTTGTGTGGAACCCAGACAGGTGGTCTTCCTATATCCCTCCCCATCAAAGGGGACAGCTTAGATTTGACCCCAGGACCAGAGAAGGCCTCTCCTGGTGGACATGCGGAGAGAAGAGTTCTCCTCCCATGCTGCAGCGCCCTGTGGAGTCTCACCAGGACCCAGTGGCTGGGGCGGGTCTGCTTTCAACGACACTTGCCTTCTAATAATACATCGACAGACGCAGTTGTCTTGCTCTGCTTTTACCATGACATTTGCCATCACTGCACATACTTCAGTTCTGTTTGCAGACACAGCCAAGAGCGAGGCTTAATGGGGGGCTTCACCCCATGCTCTTGGCCTCAGCAGAGCTGTCTCATAGGCAGTGCCCCTGGGCCCGGGAGGGCTGCGGCTGCCCTCCTCACTCAGGGGTTTGGTGGGGGAGGGGGTCTTCCATCGCACTCTCTGTTTTTGACTGACTGCCAGAAAAACCAGGAAAGAGAGCCTGTGCCTGAAAGGCCGTATTCAGACATAGTGAAGTTCAAAAGCAAGTGGTCTATGCACGATGAAGGCCAAGTGCTGTTCATGAGCAGCACACGGTCAGCCCAGATCAACTCGTGTGATGTCTTCGCAGCCTCCATGAGAAGGTGGGGAGGGGAGCAGGGGGTCCAGTCGATCAGGTTACCGCCTGTGCTTTCTTGGGTCGGCCGGAGGGTTACAAGGCTCATTGTGGTATTTTTAAACACTGAATTTAAAAGGTATGCGTCAGTGGAATGGGACATCTGACACCAATCTGGGGCACACAAGGAGGGGACCCGATGTTCCGTCACCTGCCAGGCCCCACTCCCTTCTCTGCCAGAGAGTACCAGCGCACACTAGGCCCTCAGTAAACTTCTGCTGAATGCTTTTTTGAGATGTATATTTTTAAGCTTGTTTTGGAAGTTTCCAAGCGCCCCGAGGCAGAGAGGGGGCCAGGGCCCGAGCACCTCTGCTTGGCCATCAGCCCGGGTGCCCTGCTTCCCTCGGTTGCCTCTACCTTTTCTCTGGGCGGACTTTAAAGGATCTCAATTCCAGAAATCATCTCATTTCACCCCTACTCTTTCTGAGTTCTTTTGGAGACTGTTGAGGCCACCCTCTTCCTCCATTCCTCAGGGGCGAGCATGTCAGGTCATGAACCTGCTTTCCCTTCTTCCCCACAAGATGTGTAATCACAGCACAGACCAAGGGGACCTGGCCTGGGAAGCAGACCTCACTCCCGCGAGCCCGAGTCTCCCAAAGCCACCACCCGACATCTGGGTTCCCTCTTAAAGGCCCCCAGTTGCTCATTGGAAATGTCTTCAGTTTCCCCAGCGAAGTGGACACATTTCCAGTGAGCAGGCAGGTTGCAGCTGTGGTCTTTCCAAAAGAATGCACACATGGAGCCTATGGGGCCCAAGTCAGCATGATGTCAGTTGTCACTGTCCGTGTGGAAAGATTTTGCCCCCGCCAGCTGCCGGGCCCCCTTGTGCTCTATTAATCCCAGGGCTGTGGGGCCCGTCGGGGTCGGCAGCCAGGCAGAGGGACAGCTGTGGTGGATACCGCACCACGCTCTGGGCATGTGCTCTGTGTCCTGGACACACAGATGGCGCAGAGGCCCCCAGCCCGCGCCTGTCTTCTCCTTATAGGGTTGGGAATGGGCTGGGCTGACAATACCCTTGACACAGGAGCCAAGTTAAGAGCTCTGAGATGAGGTGGAGGGCTTGGCCGCTGCGTTCCAGGTCAGCTGACGCATTTATTGGAAGCGGTGGCATGTGCCGGCCAGTGAGGCCCTGTATTCCAACAGCTGGGGGCACTGGGCTTTTATGTGCCAAGGCTGCACAGATATTTTTAATGTCCCAGGACACATGGAAGCCCAGTCGTGGCAGGGTAGAGGGGCAGGGGGGTTTGGAGGCCGCCGCCTTGCCATGGCCAGATATGGTCAGGAGAGCGGGGCGGGATTAGGTCTGGGAAGCAGCCCAGCATGTGAAGAGGTAGCGGGAAGGTCATGTGAGTGAGCTAAAGGCCTTGGCAAGCGGGGGTGGGGGGGCAGGTGAGGACTCTGAGTGGGTGCTGGGGACAGGGGACCCACCCGCGAGGGACAGGTCTGGAGGTGGGAGGTCAGCAGGACCCAACCCCCAGCTCAGAGGGGACTGGGGATACAGCTTTGGTTCAGGCCCTAGTTTTGGCTGTAGAACAGACCTGATCACCCGCCTTAGTGCCCACCCAGTGCCCCCTGGGCAGCTGTTCCTCTGCCTAGGACCTTCCTCCCTTCCTGCACAGGCCCCTAAGTGCCACCGCTGTAAACAGCAGAAATCCATCTGTGCACGCCCGCTACCCCAGAGGGGAGCTAGACACTGCCCCCAGGCCTGAACCCACGCAGCATGTGTTTCATCCCCACAGAGTTTTTAAAGTCTGAGTTCTGTTGGCCGCGAACGTTTCAATCATAGATTTTTCCAAAAGCTTTGGAGATTTGACTTTTCTGCGCTTAAGGGAGCCTTTGGGTGTCTAGGGCCCGCCTTCCACAGGCCCCGAAGCTGAGGGGCGGCCGCCCCCTGTCGGCGAGCCACAGACCCGCCACCACCTGGCTCCGTCAGTCAAGGCTGAGCAGGCCTGGCCTCTGTAGGCATCTGCACTTGCCTCCTGCAGTAAAGTGGAGCTATTATTATCTCAGGAGGAATGAGGGCCATCAGAATTAGCCTCTGAGCGGCTGCCCAGGGCCTCCTTGACTTTGCCTTGACATTGGGCCGGGAGACCTGGGCTTATGGACCTGCCTGGGGTGGCCTGGTCCGGTGAGGAGGCAGTGGAGGAAGGGGGCTGTGAGCCCTCCCTGGGCCTTCGCCGAGCCCACAGGGCCAGCGAGCTGGCCTGGTTTTCTCCGGTGGCCGCTTAGCAGTTTGAACAGACTCCACAGGGTCAGGGTAGTGACCACAGCTAGCCCAACATCTGTGCAGCTCTGGGCCTCTCAGCTGTGGTTAGGAAGGCACCAAGGAGGCTGGGGCAAGGCTGAAGCCTGGGTGTGGCTCAAGACTCAGGGCAGGGAGAGGAGGAGGGGGCTGTGCTGGGGCGTCTCTTGGGGCTTTCGGGGCCTTGGCTGTGGGCAGCCCTCGAGTAATTCCTATTCCTGTACAGAATTTCTCCTGGTCCTCTGTGGTTCCGACTTCACTATTGTTTGTCCAGGCCCCTGGGAGGAGCCACAGCAGCTATGACTACTGCTAGGCCTTCAGGGCCACCTTCCTAGGGGCTTGGGAGGTCCTCTTTCCTTGAGGAGCTTGGCTTAGAGAAGCTCTCCTCCTGCCTTGTTTGTTCCTCTTTATTTGATGAGTCTTTTCCTTGATGGCTCAGTGGGTATAAGAATCTGCCTGCAATGCAGGAGACGCAAGTTCAACCCCTGAGTCGGGAAGATTACCTGGAGGAGCAAATGGCTACCCACTCCAGTATTCTTACCTGGAAAATCCCATGGACAGAGGAGCCTGGCAGGCTCCAGTCCATGGGGTCACCGAGTTGGACACAAGTGAGCACACACAAGAAGTGGTGCCTGCTCTCTCCCAGGAGAATGCATTCACTCACTTAGTCTTGACAGTAATCTCACAGGGAAGCTGAGGCACAAAGAGGTCAAGTAACTTGCCTGAGGCCACACAGCTGGAAAGTGGGGGAGCCCAGATTGGAACTCAGGTGGTGGGTCAGGCTGGAGCGGGGGTGGCTTCCAGAGGCTAGTGTCTGGGAGGCTTTCCCTCTGAGACCTTCCATGGACTGTGTAGTACAGGGTCTCTGCTGCCTCTGGGCCCTTCCTCCCCTCCTGGGGCTCAGTCTGTCCTCAGAGCTGCTTCCTTGGGGCCGGGAGCCCACGGGATGGGGAGGGGGTCCCTGCTGACCTTACAGACCCCAGCAGTGCCTCCCCTCCTCTGGCCCCCTTTGAGGAGGCCGCTCATCCTCACCTTCCGGGCAGGATGATACAGGTTTTCCCGGGTTTTCTGACCAGGGAGGAAAGTGATCCTAGAGAGAGATCAGTACGAGAGCCACATCTCTAGTCCCGATGGGAACAGCAGGTACCTGGGGGTCAGCTGTGGCGGGGGTGCGGGGGCGCGGCTGGTGGGTGCCTGGTGCAATGTGTCCGCTATGATAGGGGCTCCTGGACACCTCCATGATCTCGCTGGAGCCCCACCCATAGTACTGCTCTCTGGGTGATTGACCTTGCTGGGACTGGAGCCTTGGCACAAAGTGCCCCAGGCCCCCACCAACAGGTGGTGCCCCTTTCTTAGGAGACTCTCCACGGTAGGTTCCTGTGCCTGCCCGCCCCTCCACCCTGGACACTTCTTGGACCTGTGGCCCTGTGGTCTCAGGTAGGTGGTGTGACCCATGTGGGTTTCCTTGTCTGTATGATGGTTGGGTTCCACCAGCTTTTTTCCTCCCAACGTGAAGGAGGCCATGCCATACAGCTCCCCACCCCACCCCTGCTCTCCAGCACCAGCAGGGCCTCGCGACTCTGACTCCTTCCTCTGGCCAAGTAGAAGGGCTAAGGCTCGCAGGAGCTAACTTCACACAGGTGATCTGTCTGAGATCATGTTGGAGGCCTGGGAGAGCTCCACTCAGCCCATTTCATTACAGCCTGCTCGCGTTCACCTGAGAAGGGGCTTGTTCTCAAAATCATGGCTACTTCTCTGAGTCAGCAGACAACAGCCTGAAGATCACCCGTAGATGTCCCCTGCACTGAGGGCTGTTTTGGCTAACGGAAGAAGGACACCAAGTTGAAGACCCATCCGGGTGTGACCTTGGGGGTTGTGGGCGTGTTGTGGCGTGTGAAGGAGGTTTGTCCTGTTAACCCTTTGCCCCCTTTTCTCTCTCTCCCCCGAGCCTTTCTCCTTTCAGTGTCCTTGGAGCCATCAGCAGTTGTGTCCCCCCAGACCCCTGACACTGCTCTGTGTGGTACCACTGAGCCTCCTTAATGTCCCTCCTTGCTGCGAAATCTTAGTGCTTCAGCCTCTTCTTGGTGGGCATCTCACCTTGCCCTTGAGGGAGAGCTTTGCTGGGAGGTAAGGCGTGGTCTTCACCTTCCAATAGAACCCACCTACCCTTAAGGGTCTCCGTGTTGCAGGGTCTGCAGATGGCAGTTAGACTGGGGTCCTATCTGGCCCAGCGATGGGCCTTTTAGAAATACCTCATCACAGCTGACCTTAGGTTCACGACTGGGCTTCTCAAAGAGGCCTGATTAATTCATGGTGCCCCCCTCCCCCTACCCATAGCCACCCGAGACAAGAGGATTTACTGTACCAGTTTATTGCCAAGCTGTATCGGTTGATAAGCAGGAAACTTCAGACCATCTGTTTAAAAATAAAAAATGAACAGCGGCACAGCCCTAGAGCTAACACTTTGTACTGCTGCATAGTAAACGAGCCCACTGGATGCAGTGACCTCGGCTGAGGTGGCCACGGGCTTGTCCTCCATCCCTCTCATCCGGGGCGCCAGATTTGTGGAAGGCAGAGCACACCACCCCCCCAACCCCAACAGCCAGCATCACTCTCCTTCTAGCTGCTCCCAGGCCCCTCGTTCAGGTCTGGCTGCACTCGAGGGTTTCTAACTCTTCTTTAGACCTCAGAGACTGTTCCCAGCAGGATGCTCATCCCATCAGCTGAGAGTCCTCGTGGTCAGCCTCATGGACCTGTCGTGGAGGCCAGCCTGCGGGACAGGACACGGGAGCACGGTCTGAAGAGGCCTTCCTGTGGCCGCTAAGGACAAGCCTTTTGCTTGGCGCCTGGGTGAGCTGCCAGCCCCATTTTGATTTGCAGCTTTTGTTGGGTCCAGGGCATGGTCTCCATCCGTCACCATGGCCCTGGGTGTTTGGGTGGGGGTTGGGCATGGTCACGGCCCTCTCTCTGGGGCCCCTGTGCAGGACGACATTGTCAGCACCACCGTCTTTGAGATCAAAGCAGTGACAGAACCTTCCCAGAGAAGCCTTTAGAAGTGAAATGTTGAGGCCACGGCAGAGCAACGGTCAAGTTCTTCTGCTTCCCATGGTGCCCTGAGCCTGCTGCCAAGCCCACGTTCAAAGGCTGTTTCTTCAAAGTTAATGGTGCCGCCTTTGAGCTGGGAGGGGAAGCGGGCAGTTGGGAGGCCCGTTTCAATGTGCATGTTTGAAGGGGAGGCAGGGGTTCTTTGGTTTATGATCGTGTGAGAACTTGGGGTGGGGAGAGGGGTCCATGTCCACCTGGGTGTTCCCTGGGCCCCAGGCGGGCAGGGCTGGGAGGGGGCGTCAGGCACCGCCTTGTGGAAAGTGACCGTGAAGGACCCTTCCGGAGGGCCCCCCCCAATCCTGTTGTGTTTGGTTCAGAGGGTTGGGCGGAGGCTTTCCTGAAGGGTCTGAGAGAGCAGCACCCACAGGCTGTGTACTCAGGAGCTAGGACGTGGGGGTTGGATGAGGGGAAGGCCAGCCTGGACTCCTCCCTGATGGATTCCTGACCCGGTCAGCTGCCCTGTGGCGGCCAGTGAGCATCGAGATGAAAACCCAGGAGCACAGGCCCCCGACCCCAGCCTCGGCCTTGAGCACCTGGGGCTCCCCATCAGCCCTCGCACTCTTTAGCCCACAGCTGTCAGCCAACCTGCACCTGCCTGTGCGCCCCCTTTTGGGGTCTTTCTCCCTCACCCCAGCTGCACACCTGGCCTGGCCAGCCCTCCCCACCCTTGGGAAGCCTCTCTGACCATCCAGCCCTCCTTGGACATCACAGCCCTTTCGTCTGGTCTCTCTGCCGAAGCCTGTTTGCTGCCCATGGCTTCTAGCTCTCCTGGATGAGCACCCAGGGGATGACCAGAGCTGCTGTGCCGACTGCATGGTCCTCTAGCTTCTTTCTCCACACGTGGCACTCAGTAGGTGCCTAATAAACCTGTTTAGAACGAGTAGATGGGTCTCTTTCTCTTTGTTCGTTCTTCATGGAGCGTAGCAGCCCTCCAAGCAGCCCTCCAAGCCCGTGTGCACACACATCCTTGTCTGCCCTCCCTCAGGTGCTCCTAACTCGTGAAGCCTAACACTACAGCCAAGAGCACACTTAGCGCAAAGTAGGCATTGAGGCGATGGTTGGATGAGGGGATGGGTGGGCAGATAAATGGATGCACAGACTCAGACCCTCGAGGATGTGCAAAAGGCAGTGAAGTTGAAGACCGTGTCAAGTGCAGAGTGGCCTCCCGATAGTTGATGGGACGCTCCGGCCAGGGGCGGGAGAGGTGGGGGCGACACGTGGCCCAGAATGTAGCGATCTGAGCAGAGGCAAGAGGAGGACACCCTGTCCCAGTATAGCAGATTAATTCCTCTGAGAAACTGACCGCTCCCCCCTCACCCAATCACAGCAGCAATTGGAGTTGATGTACAATTCCTGGGGCCCTGGTGCCCATTCACAAACCTTGCTGGGTGTGGCCTGGCTCCACAGGCTGGGAAGGGGAGCTGAGGGGGAACTGCAGGAACAGTGCCAGGCCTCCAGTCACCTCATGTTGGGGGTTTGCCTGGGAGATGGCTGTCCCTCTTCTGCTCCAGGAGTTAACACCAACCAGGCTCAGGTGCCCCCGCAGCAGGGTGCAAGGCAGAAGGGGCCTTGGGTGGACAGGACAGGGAGGCCAGGGGTTCTGGGGAAGGTCAAGAGTAAGACTGAAGGTAAACCTCAGTAGAAACTGATAAATTCTGCAGAAAAGTGAAGCAGCCTAAAAGAAACAAGAAAACAAGGTATGCAGAAACAAAATGAAAAGACAACCTACAGTCCAAGACAAAATATTTGCAAATGAGGCAACTGACAAGAGCTTAAATTCCAAATATACAGCTCAGGCAACTCAATATCATAGAAACAAACAACCCAATCAAAAAGCGGGCAAAAGCCCTAAGTCAACATTTCTTCCAAAAGTCTGTATGGAGCACTTACTCCATGCAGATGGTCAATAGGCACATGAAAAGATGCTCCACATTGTTAATTATTGGAGAAATGCAAATCACAACTACAATGAAGTAACACCTCGCATGGGTCAAAATGGCCACCATCGAAGTCTACAAACAATGAATGCTGGAGAGTGTGGAGGAAAGGGGAATGTTCTCCTGTTGGTGGGAATGTAAATTGGTGCAGCCACTATGGAGAATAGAATGGAAGTTCCTTAGAAAACCAGAAATAGAGCTACCATGTGACCCTGCAGTCCCACACGTTAGCATGTATCCAGAGGAAAACATGATCCAAGAGGATACATGCACCCCAATGTTTGTAGCAGCACTACTTACAATAGCCCAAGACACATGAGTACCCTAAATGTCCACTAACAGATGAAGAGATGAGGAAGATGTGGTACATGTGTATAATGGAGTATTAGCCATAAAAAGGAATGAAATAATACCATTTACAGCAACATGGATGGACCTAGCGATGATCATATTAAGTGAAGCCAGAAAAAGACAAATGTTATCACTTATATGGGGAATCTAAAAAAAATGATACAAATGGACTTATTTACAAACCAGAAACAGACTCAAAGAAGTAGAAAAAATTTATGGTTACCAAAGGGGATGGGTGGGGGAAGGAACAAAGGAGGTTGGGATTAATATATACATTATTGGTAAAGAATCCACCTGCAATGCAGGAGCTGTAGGTTCGATCACTGGATTGAGAAGATCTCCAGGAGGAAGGCATGGCTACCCACTCCAGTATTCTTGCCTGGAGAATCCCAGGGACAGGAGCCTGGTGGGCTACAGTTCATGGGGTCGCAAAGAGTTGGACATGACTGAAAAGACTTAGCACGCATGCATATATAAAACAGATAATCAATGAGGACCTACTGTATAGCACAGGGAACTCTACTCAATACTATGAAATAACCTATATGAGAAAAGAATCTGAAAAAAGGATATATGTAAACTGAATCACTTTGCTGTACCCATGAAACTAAAACATTTTAAATCAACTATACTACAATAGAATATAAAATGTTTTTAGAAAAGCAAAATAATGCACTCTAATGTTCATAGCAGCATAATTTACAATGACTAAGACATGGAAGCAACCTAAATGTCCACTGACAGATGAACGGATAAAGAAGATGTGGTACATGTATATAATGGAATATTTTTGAACCATAAAGATGAAATAATGCCATCTGCAGCAACGTAGATGGACCTAAAGATTGTCATATTAACTGAAGAAAGACAACTATCACATGATATCATATGTGAGATGTAAAAAAAAAAAAAGACTGAAATAAAATTATTTACAAAACAGAAACAAATTCCCAGACATAGAAAACCATAGAAAACAAACTTAGGGTTACCAAAGGGGATAGTGGGACAGGGGGCAGGGGATAAATAGTTTGGAATTAATATATACACACTAGTATATAAAAATAGGTAAAACAGCAAGCACTCCGGAGCACAGGGAACTATATTCAATATCTTGTAATAACCTATAAGGGAAAAGAATCTGAAAAATGTATAATTAATTTACAATGTAGTGCTAGTTTCAAGTGTACAGCAAAGTGATTTATATATACATGAATTAACACATTTAAAAAGTTTTAAAAGATATCACCAAAAAACAACCCAATAAAAAAATGGGCAGAAGACTTAAATAGTTCTTCCAAATATGGTCTATATAGACCACATAGTCCATACACATAGCCAAGAGGCACATGAAAAGATGCTCCACATTGCTAATTATTGGAGAAATGCAAATCAAAACTACAATGAGGTTATCACCTCACACTGATTAGAATGGTCATCATCAAAAAGTCTACAAAGAATAAATGCTGGAGAGTGTAGAGAAAAGGGAACCCTCCTACACTGTTGGTGGGAATACAAACTGATGCAGCCGCTATGGAGAACAGTATGGAGGTTCCTTAAAAAACTAAAAGAAGAGCTACCAAGGGAAAGGCTACCCACTCCAGTATTCTTGCCTGGAGAATTCCATGGAAAGAGGAGCCTGGTGGGATATAGTCCAAAGAGTCAGACACAACTGAGCAACTAACACATATGCGCATATGACCCTGCAGTCCCACACCTGAGTGTATATCCAGAGAAAAACATGATCCAAAAGGATACAGGCACCCCACTGTTTGTAGCAGCACTACTTACAATAGCCAAGACATGGGAGTATCCTAAATGACCACTAACAGATGAACAGATAAGGAAGACGTACATGTGTACAATGGAGTATTAGTCATAGAGAGAAATTAAATAATACCATTTACAGCAACATGGATGGACCTAGGTTTGATCACTAGGTCGAGAAGATCTAAAGGAAGGCATGGCTACCCACTCCAGTAGTCTTGCCTGGAGAATCCCATCGACAGAGGAGCTTGGTGGATATACAGTCCATGGGGTCACAAATGTCAGACATGACTGAAGTAACTTAGCATGCAGGTGCATATAAAATAGATAATCAACCAGGATCTATGGTATAGCACAGGGAGCTCTACTCTGAAATAACCTATATGAGAAAAGAATCTGAAAGAGAATGTGTGTATGTTTATCTGAATCACTTTGCTGTACACTGAAACTAAAACAACATTGTAAATCAACTATGTTGTTGTGGTTCAGTTGCTCAGTCATGTCCAACTCTTTTGCAACCCCAGGAACTGTAGCCTTTCAGGCTCCTCTCTCCGTGGGATTTCCCAGGTAAGAATCGTGGAGGGGTTACCATTTCCTGCTCCAAAATAAACTATGAAAGTGAAAGTGTTAGTTGCTCAGTCATGTCTGACTCTTTGCAACCCCATGGACTGTAGCCTGCCAGGCTCCTCTGGTCCATGGGATTCTCCAGGCATGCATACTGAGTGGGTTGCCATGCCCTCCTCCAGAGGATCGTTCGGATCCAGGGATCAAACCCGGGTCTCCTGCATTGCAGGCTGATTCTTTAGCATCTAAGTCACCAGGGAATTCCAAAATAAACTATACTACAATATAAATTTTTTTTAAGTAAAAAAAAAAACCCACGCACTCCAATGTTCATAGCAGCATAATTTACAATAGCTAAGACATGCAGGCAACCTAAATATGTCCACTGACAGATGAATGGATATAGAAGATATGGTACATATATATATATATATATATATATTATGGAACACTTTTAAACCATAAAAAATGAAATAATGTTACTTGCAGTAACATGGATGGACCTAGAGATTCTCATATTAAATGAAAAAAGTCAGACAACTATCATATGATATCATACATGGAATCTTAAAAAAATGATTGAAATGAAATTATTTACAGAGCAGAAATAGACTCACAGACATAGAAAACAAACTGACAGTTACCGAAGGGGATAGCGGGGCTGGGAGTGGGGGGTAAACAGGAGTTTAGAATTAACATATGCACACTTTTGTTGTTCAGTTGCTCAGTCATGTCCCACTCTCTTCAAACCCATGGACGGCAGCATGCCAGGCTTCTCTGTCCTTCAACATCACCCGGAGCTTGCTCAAACTCATGTCCATCGAAATCAGTGATGCCATCCAACCATCTCATCCTCTGTCACCCCCTTCTCCTCCTGCCTTCAATCTTTCCCAGCATTAGGGTCTTTTCCAGTGATTTGACTCTTTGCATCAGGTAGCCAAAGTATTGGAGCTTCAGTTTCAGCGTCAATCCTTTCAATGAATATTCAGGGTTGATTTCCTTTAGGATTGACTGGTTTGATCTTCTTTCTGGCCAAGGAACTCTCAAGAGTCTTCTCCAGGACCACAATTCAAAAGCATCAATTCTCTGGAGGTCAGGCCTTCTTTATGGTCCAACTGTCACATCCATACATGAATACTGGAAAAACCATAGCTTTGACTACACACACTACTATACAAAAATAGGTAAACAGCAAGAACCCACTGTGGACCATAGGGAACTATATTCAATATCTTATAATAACCTATAAGGGAAAAGAGTCTGAAAA